AAAGAACAAATAGATTTTTGAACATGGACTTTCCTACATAAAGTTGTGGTTTGATGACAAAATAAATCCAATTCTGTGCTGCCCTGGAACATAGAACACAGTGCTAATGTGGTAGAGGCTCACCCTGTCAGCTAAAATTAGTCTACCTATATTTTTCATACTGGCTAGCTTTTCCAGAGGATAAGGTATCATCTCTCATCCTGCAACTTGTGTAGAATCAAGATCATCTCCCTGTTGCACACCAGATAATTTCACAAGAGAATGCTTTTGTGTCCACACATGATCCAGATGAAATGTTTGCTGCAGGGTGATTTGCAGATGCACAGAGCCAGTAAGAATGGTTATGGGACAAGACCTGTGTTTTAACAATAAATTTCATGTTTTCTTCTGCACTGCAATTATAAACAAAGATGCAAGATTCTGAGAATAAAAAGTATGGGAAACATGAGGAGAATCTGATTATGCATTGACAAGCATGTTGTCAGGCACCCTAGAAATTAGTTCTGCCTGAGGCTGTGCAAATAACTAATTCCTCAGTTTGGTTGCTGAATTGGAAAGAAATAAAAAACAACTAAACTGTTATCCACTACCAAAACAAAAGTTCAACATGGTTTGCTTTATTCCAACATAATGTTACTTTTCCCGTTTTCATAAGTTCTTGAAATTAAACATAACTGACAAAGCCACTGGAGGGTTGCTGTAGGTGTCATCCTTTTACCCAAAAGTATAGGAGGTAGTACATATGTATAAAAAAAAAATGTCTAGATTAAATTGTTTTGAAAGGGGATTTGAACCCAGCAGGGAATTTGAACCCAAGACACCCTAAGCAGCAAAGTATTCTGCACTGAGACTTGTGGTATCTTTTGCTGACACCCTTTCCACTTCTATGAATAGTTACTAATCAAATCTCTGACTCAGTGGTGACCCAGTTACTACATGCAACATTAAGGACATTGCCCTAAAATACAGAAGACACTTGGAATGCAGACACATACACATGCAGACACTTGCACACACAATTCAGCATTGCATAAAGAAAATTTAGCTAGCTGCACATGATGTGGTGAACATGTACAGAAGCACTGCAGAGCAACAGCAAGGTGCTAGTCTGTCTCCCAGAGCTAGCATTACCACAGTAGCATGGTATTGAACAATCCTCCCTCCCAGCAAAGCTGATTAGACTGGCTGTAGTGGCAGGCTTCTGGTCCTGAAGCTAGACACAGAGCTGGCTGTCTCAGACCAGTGCTTCCTAACTCCTCGTCATTTGTAGTGGAGGACACAACTATTTAATGAAAGATAGGTACCACTAATAATTACATTCTCCAGTCCCAATGGTTTGAAAAAGTAAATGTCATTTCACAATTGGTTTTCAAGACAGTCAATCCTCCATTTCTGAAGACTATGCTATTCTCCAGTTGATTTTCCACCATCATTTCTAATTGTGAGCAATTACAAAAGGGACATTTAGGAGGGAAGGAAAGATCTAAAAAGTGGCTTGAAAGACAGCCTTTATTTTGCAAACATATTTGCATATACTTAATGCAATTAAATGACCAGTGAAGACATCTAAGCTGGTTTTGTGGGCTTTGAAGGTTTGCATGAAGCCAAATATTTTTCCAGCCTTACTATATGGAAACAACAGGCACCTTTCACATCAGCCTGTGCTGCTGCAAGTATGCATTCACTGATGAAAATTATATGCTTTATCCTCAAATTCAATGCAATAATATGCATAAAAATATTCTTATTGTCAGGGCAAGGAGTAGGTAACATTCATTATAAAGTTGGCAAGATTGGCATAGGAAATAGCTTCCATATATCAGGAGACCAAAGAGGCTACAGTTCTTCAGCTTGGAAAGAGAAATGAGAAGGGTTACAAGTCTACAGTGTTTTGAGTGGCATGGAAGATATTACTGTAGGATGATTACTCATATCACAAAACAAGAGCGGGAGATCACCTAATCAAGTCATCAGACAACAAGTCTATGACAAATAAAAGGAAGTTCTGTTTCACACAGTGCATAATTAGAGTATTAATTAGTACAAAATTAGAGTGAAATTCAGCACCACAAAACTGTGGGGGCAACAAAACTATGCACATGCTGAAAGAGACACTGGGGAAATGGGAGTGTAGAGGTCTTCAAAGACAGTAATCCAGTTGCTTTTCAAGTTAAGATGATCTCAGAACTACAGTGGTGTAACCTCCTTTGAGCAGAGCTCCATTTCAGGAGCCATTACACTGACATGGTGAGCCACAACTTCCTTACTGGTTTCCCCTCTGAGTCAGATGGCAAGAATCCTCAGTCAGTCACAGACTACTTCTCTCTCTATCTGAATGCATCCCTCATTTCACATCCCTACTTGCTCCATTCTTGCTTCCTTGAGAAGACATGAAGCACTGCCTGAAGGATCAGCTGGGACATCTAACATGGGAAGTCCTGCAGGGAGCTGGATGCCTTGCTTGCTGTATGGGTAAAGGATGATCTGGAATTAAGGGAAGTGGGCACAGAAATGGTGCAGTGGGAGTGGTGCTCTGACTGAGCAGGAGCAAAACAAGGGCAGCTCCTGGGAACAGGACCCACTTCACAATATTTATTCTTAACTACTTGTTCTGCAGAGGATGGTCTGGCTGAGATTTATAGACAACAAGAGAAGCAGCTTACCTCAAGTGAATTATTGTAATTATTTGCTCATAATCTAAAACTTACTTGGTTCTTGGCCTTCTCTTCTGGAATTGCAGTCTAATATTCAGCAACATAACAAATGGATGATGCCACCATCAAGGCCAGTTATTTGTTGTGATAGCAGAGAACAGACAACAGGGTGAGCATTACAGTGAATTTTAAAAAAACAGTGTCTGTCCACTCCCCTTCTCCCCAGCAACACTTTCAAAGCCTACTTGCAAACTCCTGCATGAGTCTAAAAACGCTACAATATGAGATATTTGCTCTTGCTCCTAAAAATAGATTTTTCGAAATTATCATGTGGGACTATTACTACAAATGAATCCCATGAGGAGAATCACTGTAAGTAGGGCACAGAGGAAGAAATCTCACAGTTTCAGCTGTGGTATCTGTCTCACACAGTCAACAACTTAACTCCACAAAGATGGGTATGTTCAAAAGCCAAGAGCATGTTCTTCCCTTTCCAATTTGAGACTTGCACAGAAATACCAGGGAAAGGTTTTAGCATTTTGGATTACAATTCCCAGTGTTAAAATGCTATGGTATTTAGGACAGAGCATTTGAATAAGACAAGAAAGTCTGATGAAAACAGTTCATCCTTTTTAACTCGTAGTGTTGGTACTTCAGAGAACAAAAAATACAGGCATGATCACTAAAACTGAACTAGGTCAGTGGCATATCTTTTCCTCTCAAATACTCTTGAGTGTTGCCAGCTGGAAATTCAGGCTACGTATGCCACAGCAATTGAAGAATAATTTGGTAGCCTGTAATCGTGTCAATTCTCATCCTGGTTTTAGAGGTATGCTAATGTAGTGTGAGAGCAGCCACAGAAAGTATTTTGATGGTACTTTTGAAGCTAATTAGCATATTTCACTACTGTATTTGGTCTTACACTGTGTCACACAAAGCTAATTTCACCAGTGTAGAAGCAAAGTGTATTTTCCTCCCTGACCTGTACACTGCATTGGAAAAACATTTGCACTATTATCTAGGTCTACTATCAACAATAATGGTACTTATGTGTAATATTCTTGCTTTCTTGTGTATCTATATGCATGGATAAAATATAAAATAGGACACGTTGCTAATGTTCCAACAAGAGAAACACAAAAATCAATTTTATTTTCACATTGGATCCCAAAAATGAGTTTTCAAAGGCACAAATGGCAGGCTTGTCTAAATCCCATGAAAATTCACTTATGGCACATTTATGTCTTTAAAAAATCTGCAGCTTTGTATTACAAAAGGCCAGAATTAAACATAAAGGCTTTGATCCTAATACCATTTTTACACAGCTAGCAAAGATATGCAGTTGTTCAAAGAGACATCTACTTATTAGAGAGTATGTTCAGGTCATAAAAACGCATTCACCCAATTCATAACAGAAAGTACTTAAGAACCAGCATTATTCCACACATAGGAAAAGACTTACTAGAGAAGTGCAGTACAAGTGTGTGAGGCACACAAGCTTTGAGGACGCTGACATCCTATATTACAAGGTTTGAATATCCCTTAAGTGCTTTATTGGCATAAGTAACACAGAGGTCAATCTCTGTATTCCAGCGTGACCCTTTATTATCACCTACACAGAAAGAAAAATCTAGTCCAAACCCTACAGACCAACAAATCATAGTAGATTTAAGCTTCAGAACTCTGAGTAACAACAGCAAGCTCCACAATACAGCATTTTTCTCTCATTGTTTCCAAATCTGCTTGGCAGGCTGATTAATAAAATTGTGTGAAATAAACCATCAAATTACTAAAGTGATTTTTGAGAAAAGACATAGATTGTTATCATAGTTATTCTTGCTATTAGCTATACTAGAATATAGTATATATATTGTTATCAATTATTCAGTTATCAGTGCAACTCCTTGTCCCCAAAATGTTGACTTTTTTTTTATAGGTGTCATGAATGAAAAAAGTTTGTAGCACACACAGCCAGAAGAAAAGTATTTACAGCATATCTAACACCCACCCAATAACATCCATGCACATAAATAACCATAATCTTAGATTACAATAGTATGTTAGCTTTGACTCAGCCCTAAAATACATCCCCTCTGGCACCAGAGCTGACAGCAGCTGTGGGGTCAGCCTGCACCTTCTGCAGGTCCTGCAGATGAAGAGTGAAGAGTGTGCATGCACTGAAAGGAAGAGCTGATACAGGTGGGGGAAGGCAGCACTTTTCCTTCACAATGGAAACACACATACGCCCTAGCATACACTCAGCATCAATGTCCTAACCTGTGGTTCACATAACTACAGTCATCTCAGGAGAAACAGAGAAAAAAGAAATAAGGCTTAGAAACTGACCTGTTTTTCATTTTCATCCTCCAGCCTCAGCCTGTCCTCAATGCAGTTCCTGGCCTGAAGGAATGCCTTCCTCTGAGCCCTTTCTGTCAAAATCCTCACAAAGACCCCATACAAATTTACACTGACAAAAAGGATTGCATTGGCCACAAGCTGTAAGAAAGAAAGAAAAATAAATGAATATTTTAAAATTTATTTTACATTTCTACTCAGCAAAATATTAAAAAAAAAGCAAACAAACAAAAAACTGTTTGAAAATTGTGCGTTGCTAGCCATGTCACTGACACCCCTTCCTGCATTGAAACAATACAGCAGCTACCACAAGTAGCATAGAATTTCACATCTGCTGAAATTAATTTGTCTTATGATGATCTGTAGCTTATCATCTTAATTGATCATAATTTCTTTGATCAGGCCATCAGCAGATCTGTCCATCTAATAAGGTGAGCGGTATTATTAGTATTTGTTCAATATACTCAGAAAACCAAAATTATTTTCCCATGCCTTCATAAAATAAGGATATTACTGTCCCTTTTTTTATGGTTGAGAAGCAAGGCACTGACAAACCTGTGACAATCAAAATGTGTGTTTAGGTACCCCAAGCTTTCATAATGCATAGGTTGTACTTGGAGAGTCTGCTTCTCTTCCCCTGTCTGTACTGTTAGCAACCATACTGTATTTTTTGAGAAATCATCCAAAATATTGTTGATGCAGCAGACCTCTCAGAAGGTGCTGAATCTCTGGCCCTTGGCACAAGCAAAGCCTAATCACAATGCTTTAAGCAGGGACAATGAATTACTATGGAGCTACTTCTATGAACAGTGCTTTTATGAAGGACACATAAATGACTCAACTGGCCTTCAGGGGTTTTTTAATGTTTTTACAATATGTGATAAAATTACTTAACTAACCTAAATCACTCAACAGTGGTTTGTACACGCACGCAGTACATGACCATATTATTTCATGATACAGGCTGAGCATAAGCAGTCTGCAATTCCTATTTGCTTTATTTTCCTTGATCATAGAGAACTGTTTGAGGTGCATCAGTTTTCATCACAAGTTAAATCCTACTAATACGAAATGACTGTAGAAATACCAGTAAATTCTTGAATGGCTTGACAGTTATAGGCAGTGCAACTGCTTGACCCTGTCCATATACAGAACAGCTGTTAACAACACAGGGTGAGAAGCTATTACTATCTTTATGCACTGATATCAGAGTGGCTCAAGGCATAAATAATTACTTCCAAAGGCAATAAAAAAAAAGTCAACTCAATTTATGGTTTTCAACAGGAAGCAGTAAAAGACCACATATTGTAACAATCTACTAGCTGTTCTGGATCTATCATTACAATTTTATTCAAGCAAATAGTGATCACTTGGACTAGGGGTAACCAGTAAGTGGGTTCCTGCCACTTTCAGATGCAGCAGGGTAAGTCATTTTCCAACATGCTTTGAACAGTTTAAGATAAAACAGAGGCTTAGCTGTCAGTTCTGGCCTGCAGGGAATCAGGAAAGTGATAAAGCAAGTAAAAGATTCATAGATTTCAAAATGTGAGGAAAGAAAGTAGGGCAGAATGTCTCCTGAGGTAAGAGTTCCTTCCTTCCACAACCTGTTTTCTACTTAATTACTATCTGCCCCCCAATTGCAAACTACATACTGCTCTTTCTGCCTAGGTTTCTCAAATGTGTGCCATTTTCCAGTCCCTTTCATTTTAATATGTAAATATGTACCTCTATACACACATACATACACATATATAACTTTCACACATTATGTGCCATCATTTCAGGGAAGACTGCAAGACTTGCTGTTAAAACTAAGGAATTTTGAAGATGTACTGAATCGTTCAGAACTGCTGAAATATCAAGGAAATGAATGTTGTCATTCCTACATTATTTACTATACTAGTGCTCTGTATCAAAAAGAGTGCTCTTCGGGTTTCACCATCACCTTCCATTCACAGAACAACCACAGAAACAATTTACTTAATGCAACACAGAGCAATTAAGAGACAATTTTATGCCACAAACTTTCAAACAATGTTAACCTCTCAATCCATGAAATTACAGGTGAGGCAGAATATAAAAAAGGGCATCAGGGTCATGAGAGCCTGTTTCTAAAATTATTTTATTCAATTTATTTTTGTCACTGAATCTTGCATTGTGCATTCTGCCTATCTGCTGCACTTCAGTACGAACACCAGGAGTTTGAAGTTTCTCTAGTCCTTAGTAGGTTACACTCTCTGTCACTAGATGAATTCTGGCATAGTTCCTTGTGTAAGGATAATAGCAAAGGCAGATTTCCAACACAGAACGCTAATTCTTGTGAGCTGCCTCATCAGTGAAGAGGGACTGGGAGCTCCATCAGGTATTTCAACCAAATGTCTGTTTCTCCTGGGTTTTTCTCCATTGACTTTTTTGGGCCTCAGCTTACTTAAGAAAGGAACTCAAACTGTGCAAGACAGCAACACCCATTAAGGAGTAAGGCAATAATTCTAGAGGTAAGACACATGCAACATGCACATGCACACACAGGGCTTGAGGAGTTTAGTTATAGATCTCCTTTTTATTCCCCAGATTCATCTTCCACTTCTTGAGTCTCCCTTAGGATTAGTCGAGAGAAAATTTGAGGAATGTCTTGAAACTTCTTCCTTTACTCCAGGCAGGATTTATTCTCCACTTCTTTTTCTTTCAAAGCAAGAATCCTCATGTGTGCATGGATGTACTTGCTTTTTATCAAACAAATGGCAAAAAATTCTTTTATGTATTATTATTTGCTTTGTGAGAGGACTCTGCTTACTCAGCAGACTAATTCTGCTGTCAGGTAAACAGTTGTATAGTAGTTGGTTCAAACCTGAAGCTGGTTTTCATTAGGGAGTAGCTTTCTGTTTCTATCACAAAATTGTCTTAGAAAAATCTGGCTATTTCACAAAGTTGTAAACGACTCCTGGATCACTCAAAGACTTTTTACAAAGTGGTATTCATACAGATGGATATTGCCCAATTGAAGTAGACTAAATGAGAAATATAAACTATCAGTGAAGAAAATTTCCAAAGTCTCACAAAAATTCATTGTGCTGTACTAAAAAGTGGATTTGTGGTGTGAATAGGATTGAGAAGTGATTTCAATAGTTATCACATCCAGGATTTAGTGGCTAATGTCAATATTCAGTTTATTCTCAGAAGTGTAAGTTTTCATGACAACCCATGAAGCAGAGTGGAATATGTAGGAAATATGGTCAGCATTTCCAGATGAAAGTTAAAACTTGCAGAAAGAAACCAAGATAAATGCAATTCTTGTATGTCTTAACCCTCAGATACCTGATAAGACATCTAATGGGTCTGAATTCTACTTACAGTTTTCTGTTAACTGTTTAGTGCAAGTTTCTGTGCCACCATTGTTCCTGTTATGCAGACAATGTAACATTTACTCATTCTGTCAAAATACTCTGAGATATGGAAATGAAATGCATTATTTTAAAATATGAATGTCTATTGGATGTCTCTCCGGAAAAAGTCGCAAACAGCTTACCAAAATGAGTCAGTGTTTCCACTGTGAAAAATCTTGAAGTGCAAGGCAAGACTAGGCTCTTTATGAAAATTGTTGGTACCACGAACAAGCGCCTAAACTAAAATAGTTTCTCCTGTTATGGAGACTGTATAGACAAGAATGCACAAATGACTCTTGATTGTGACATGGTTTTGTAAGTTTAGTAATTCACTTAATCAACTCACTTTGAAATCTTTTGAGTATACTTAATTACTACACCTGCTCCCTCTGATTGCTGAAGTGGTGTAACACAGGAGCAGAAAACTTCTCTTTAGTTGCTGACAGGGTCCCAAAAAACACACCCTCCTACCAGAGGAAGCAGCTCCAACAGTTTTTCTCCAAATAAACATGTTCTCAATTTGAATAAGCATCCCTCTTTTATTTTTGTTAAGTTTTTGTCCTGTTTTATACCATACACTAAGGAAATACTGTTCTGCTGTGCTATTCACTGTGATTTCTGCATACATTTGCACCCCTCCTGAATCTGCAGCATACTCTAAGAGGGGATTAGTGAGTGGTTATTTCAGTGGTAATGAGAGCAGATATCCCTGTTGAGGAAGAGACAGTAGCACTGGGGTGTCTACAAAAATACAAGTGAAGAGAGACTTTTACAGTATCTAGGTTGCAAGGTCCACTAACCACAGCCAGTTTTTCTGAAGTGCACAGACACAATGTGCCGCTGCAAAAATCTACTGTCTCCCTCTCTGTTGGCATACCTGTTTGACCAAAGTAAAAGACATAATTAACAACCACTGTTAAAAATACATGCCATATACCTTTCTAAAAAAATGCCCACTACAAAAGAAGTCATCGAGAGCCATCAAGCTCGTCAGTATTAAGAAGTTCATCTGTTGCATCTTTCTCCAAAGAACACATCATTTTAACTGTGAAACATACTCTGGGAGAACAGTTAGTTCACCTTTTCTCACATGATAGACTGTTGGCTGTTTATCTGGTGTCCAAATCATTTACCTCTGAGATTAAGTAGCAGAGAATTATGATAGAATATCAGAAGTAAAGCTGATTAAATCATAAATTTTGAATCATAAACCTTATGTAGTACTGCAGCTTAAAAGTATTGTGATAAAGGTATCTACATTTACATAAGATACCAAGTATTTGTGTTGCTGAAGTTGCACTGTGTCAGCTTTCTCCTCATCAATACTCTCACTCAGGTGTGTGACACAAATCTATGACATTGATTTCAGGCTCCTATTTTTAAGATCCTGAATTGTTCTGCCTTTCTCAGCGAATTTTAAAAGAAACTCACAATTCTGTCATTTTTACCTTTCACATTAGCAAATAATTTTAAATCTTTATTTTGATGTACCAAGACCTCTGGATTTTATTTTTGTTGTTGTTGTTTATTTGCTAGAAAGACAGAAAATAAGCACTTATGCATAATAACTTTTGTTTTTATCTGGGGTTTTTTAAATGAAAAACGCTTTTAAGGAATAGGAAAAATATCATACAAAAGACAGATTATTTATAACAGAGCACTGATATATGACATTCTAGGGAAAAAAAAAGAAATTAAGGACTGGATGGAAAATACAGGCCCAAATAACTTTATGCATAACTTCTCGATCACTTCCAA